TCGTGGACTAGATCCTCCGGATATGGCCCAAGCTCCGTCAGGAACCTCTCCGGGTCCATCAGGCGCCTGGGACGGAACCATCTAGCCAATATGTTTCCAGGTGCGATTAATAGTGCTGGTTCTCACCCTTAAAACCCTTCATGGCTTGGGACCAGGTTATCTGAGAGACCATTTTCTGCCAGTTCTTCCTACCCATTCAATCTGGTGTGGCAGAATGGGTATGTTCTGGGTCCCGTCGGCCAAGAATGTTGGTTGGTGGAGACCAGGAGGCATGCTTTTTCTATTTGAAGGGCCAGGGGTTCCAAGTGTTTGAAGGGGCCCGTTCCTTGGTTATATTGACAGTGATGGATTATAATATCTCATGGCTGCTATTTATAATTAATTTATTTTTGTATTGTGCTTTAACTGTTATAATTATTTTTATTTTTTATTCACCATCCAGAATCACTGCTTTGAGAAAGGTGTCTATGCTAATTGAATAAGAAAATAAACAAGCAAATTTTCAGAATTATGGGATATAATTCATTTATCATGAGAGACCCGAATCCTTTACAAGTAGTTCTTGAGTTACACCCATAATGGAGCCTTCCCATCACAGTTGTAATTCATGATGGCTGTAAAGTGAGTCAGTTATGTGCCTGGCCTGATTTTATGGCCTTTTTTGGGTAGTAATTAAATGAATTATTGTCATTAAGTGAATTTGTGGTTGTTAAGTAAATTCCAGGGTCTTTAAGTGAACAATGGCTTCCTCTCGGCATGAATATTCTCAGTCATCCAGGTCATGGTTGTAACAAAAGTGCTTTTTTAAGAGGCAACTGGACTTTCTTGGTTTTTCTTTGAAGATGTTTCACTTCTCATCCAAGAAGCGAAAAAGCACCTTTGGGACGTCTTCTTCCTTACATTTTTCAATTTCTGTTCTTTCATGTTTTTAAATTACTCACATCTGCTCTTAATTTTTTTTATTTTGTCCTTTGATCTGATCTTTTACTTTAGGGTTGAATAAGTTTTGCTTTTCGTTTTCTAATTTTGATACCAAGTTCTTCTGTAAACATCATTGTAGTACTTAGGCAAGCTAATTGGTCTATTTGATAGATATTGTTTTAATCTTTGCAAGCATCTTATTGATATCCTTTATTATAGAGGCAAGGTCTTTTTTTATATACCAGAATCATAGCTTTTTTATTTACCACCAACATAACTCTTAACATCATTCTATTTCTCTGTCTTTTTTTGGTTGACTCAAAGTGATGAATATACCTAATATTTCTTTCTCCTATTTCCCCCACAATAACAACCCTGTGAGATGTGTTGAGCTGAGAGAGAGTGACTGATCCAAAGTCACCCAGATGATTTTCATGGTTGTTATTTTGGGGAAATGTAGGAGGAATGTATGTGCTCATTTAACATAATGCTAATGAAGAAATAAATAACTATCAACAAGAACAAAAGCATTTGATGTAAAGGTGTTTTACAATTTTAGTTTTTTTAAATGTATTTTAAATACTTGATTATTACCCAGTGGTGGTGAAATTGCTTCTCTAGTAAAAATAACATGGCTTTTGTTCCATAGTTCATTATTTTTAGTAGGTTAAAATGAAAGACTGCTTCAAGACACTTTAAAATACAGATACCGCAACTCCTACTAGCTTAATTTCTACACCTTCTGTTACATATTAAGGGCTACTCTTGAAAAAAAAGAATCCATTTCTTTTATTTGAACGAGCGAGTTAGATATTTTAAAGCATTTTTATTTTTACATTTTTAATTAATCAAATTGCAAAAAATGAAGTCCCATTTTTCTTATTTCTCCACAGTATTTAGTAATTTCTGCTGTTTAAAAAATAGGAAAGTGGCCTGGGAAGCTATAAATGGAAAAATCAGAGTCAGTTGGGGATTGGTTGTGGGTCAAAAAAATGGTTAAGGAATCCCCAAAAAGGAGAGGTAAGGGAATATGTATTGGGCAGAATGAATGGAAAGAGCAGCTGTCAGGCCATAAAGCTGAGAATGAGAAATTAATGTCTTTACACCTATGGTAAGTAGTGCAGAATGTGATATCTGGGATTGATGTTGAGATAAGAGGGAATTGGGGGCTGCATGTGCTGCCACTGATCTAGAATACTCATATATCCTCCCATTGTAGTTCAACAAAACAACAATAACAACAAAATCTTCCAGGGCTGTAGATATCTTTAATAAAATTATCAACATAAATGTATCTCAAAAGATAAAATTGATTTATTGAAATATGATCCTTTCAAATATCATTGTTGTTTCTGAACTTTCACTGAAATAAGTTTGGTCCTTAATATTTACAACATCATGGGATTTTTACTTTAGGACTTATTTTTGGCAAACATATACTCTGAATGAAAAGTAATAATCAACTTAATTAATGTCAGTTTTGATAGCATCATATAAAGTCTACAATCTTTTGTTCTGAATTTTATATTATCATTTTAGGCCACAGAAAGTGAAGCTGGTGACATGGACCTGAGTGGATTACCAGAAACAGCAGTAGATTCTGAGGATGATGATGATGAGGAAGATATTGAGAGGGCTTCTGATCCTTTGATGAGCAGAGATATTGTTAGAGACTGTCTAGAAAAAGATCCAGTAGACAGGACAGATGATGATATTGGTAAGCTACCATTGACATAAAAAAAAGGAAAAGAAGATTTTTGTCTTGAGTGGCATTAAGAACTTTTGATTAGATATTTTCTGTTCCAGAATTTAACTGAATGAAATTATTTCCATGAATCAAAATAGAATTAACAAAATAAAATTCTAAATGTTTGAGATGAACATGTTGTGTATATAGTGATTAAGCCTATTAGCTTTCCATTTGTCTCCATTTCTATCACATTTCGTTTTTACTGAAAATATTTAAGGATTCATATTTTTTGCTTAAGAAGTTTTTAATGATAGGAGTAGAGCTTGAAATACACTAGAATCTTAATCTAAGCATTTAACTTTAGTATCTTTGTGTGTGTGTAAAATTACATACATCTATAAAATTAAAAAGGAAGATAAACAAGTGAAAACTAAAAACTAATACAACAAAAAGAAAAAATCATTGAGAAAGCTTAGTGTGCAAGAAATATAAAAATAGAAAATGGAATAGAAAGAAAAATGGTACATAGAAGTGACTTCCAATCTTCTTCACAGCAGTTATAAGTACAATTATAAATATATTTCTTTCTCTGTGGTTACAATGTGATGCCCTTCTTTCTGTAATCTTTGTGTTTAATCAAAATCATAAATCATAAGTTCATTTTTTCTTTTTTATGCAAAAAATTTATAAGAGGTTTTCAGTGAGCAATAAAATTATTTTCTCTCATAAAGAAGTCAATTTAGCCATCTTGGCAAATTCCAACTTCTTCACCAGCCATTTCTCCATTGTGAGTCATGCTGAAACTTTTTATCTTTGTGCATACAACAATCTAGCTGCAGTTATGATATTAAAAAACAAAATTTCATGACTTTTCCCCCCATCAATTTCAAAAGAAAAAGCCTATGGATTTTAATTGTATACTAATTTTTAAAATCATCTGAATCAGCATACCTGTTTGAATCCAAAATTTTCTAGCTTTCTTACACATCTATCAAACATGATAAAATAGCATTATTATTTGCATTTCTAACTTTGGGGTGACTTTGTACCTTCTAGACCAGGGGTGTCAAACTACATTGCGGGCAATGGCAAAACCGGCCCGATACGTTGCGCAATGTCATGTGATGTCGTGAGTTTGACATGCCTGTTCTAGACAATTTCCCTGATGACATACAGTATGCCAATAGTACATCATTCTATAATTTTTTTAAGATTATAACATAGTGTAAATTTCATTCTTTTTAACCATATATTTTTCCATTGTCCAACCTGTATATTATAACCCAAAATTTTAAGCATATATTATCATATATTATTTCACCTGTTTTTTTTATTTTCAACTTTCAATTAAAAAATGTACATTTTAGCAATTACATGTTTCACACTCAGTCTTACAACATTCAAAACCATAAATCCTTTTATCTACTTAAAATTAGAAATAACGGTAAGAAAAATGTTGACGACTCTATCAATCTGCCACCAATTCTCTTGATTTTATTTTACATTCCTATTGACAAAATTCTAGTATTTCTTTGAGAAGTTAGTCATTTGTGTTTGTTTGTTAACTTATCTATAAAATGCTTCTTATTCTGAAAGCCATAAAGGTGTTTTCAGTCACACCTGGATTTGTATCTATTCCATATTCTCAGTATGGCACTCTTAACAAAATGATTTTTAAAATCCACATTAACATTGACTTTGTCGTACCACAAACATCTATGCCACTGAAATCTCAGGTTGTTTCCTTTTAACTGCAAGAGCCTTATATTTGTAACCAGCACTCACTTCACTCTCTGTTTGAAACCAAACAACAAGCTACAAAATACAGCTCCAAATCAGGTAGACCCAACCCTCCTCTTTTCTTTGCAATTTGTAACACCTTATATTTAACTCATTTTTTGACCAAATTTAAATATATTCTATCACTTTTTAAATGATGCATCAGTTGTCAAGACAGGTTTTGTCTAAAACAAAATCATTAGTCTAGGCAAGACATTCATTTTTATCACAGAAATTTTCCTCAGCAATGATAATTGTTGTTTCTCCCATCTAAAAATGTTTTTAGCTTTGTTTCATGTCTTAACATAGCTATTTTGAAATAACATATAGTTCGTATTTGCCATAGTGATAACCAGATATGTTATATTCTTTTCAATCTTAAAACCTATTTTATTTGCCAGTTCTGTTTGATCTATATTTTTTTAATATCTACTTCTACTTGGTAATCTTGAAACTTTGTTGCTAATGCACTAAATTCTTTTAATTTCCCCATTAATGTTTCAGTTCCCTTTAATGGATCTTTCCAAATCAGTACCAAGTCAATCTTTAACTTACAAGTTTCTTTTGTAATCTTTGCTCCCACAATCCTGTCATTCAGTATTTCAAGAACCAAAATAAACAAGATGTTACATGGTGGGCTGTCTTCTTTCTTTTTGTACTTGACATGTATTGTTAGACCTCCGTTAATAATTATTTGTGCTTTCTGTGAATCTTATCCATTTTTTAAAGTTCTCTCCAAAATTCATAATATTTCAAAATCTTGTATAGAAAAACCCAGTTCAGACTGCCCAAGGCTTTTTTCTGCATCTAAGAAAATCAATGCAGTTTGTTTTTCATTATGATGATTCCAAAATGTTTTTAAGGTTATGCTTTAACTGTCTTTTCTGTAAACACCCACATTGATCCGCATGAAGAAATTCTTGAAAAATTATTTTCAGTTTGTTAACTAAAGTTATTGTGAATAACTTCTAGTCATCAGTAATGATACTGGCCTATAGTTTCTTGTTAAAGTCAAAATTTGTCCCTCTTTGTCGATAAATTTAACACACAAATAGTTTGTTGCAGAAGCGACTGCCTGTGAAGGCTCCTAGATTGAGGCTGAAAGGCAAAAGCAGAAGCAGTATGCTCTGTCCCATATTTGCGGTAGACCAGGTTGCCCTGATAGACCAGTCTCACCGGAAAACATTTTGTCCCTCTTTAGATGTTAGTGGTATTTTGGCCTCTTTCCACATTTCTGCATCATTCCTTGTAAAGCTTGTAAAGGTATAAAGTAGATTGTAAAGTTCATCCTCAAAACATTTATAATAAAAACCTGATAATTCATCTAGTCCAGGCACTGTGTCTGGTTTAATCTTTTTTATAGCTTCAGAAATTTCCTTTACTATTAGAGGTCCATTCATAATAGCAATAGCACTTAGAATTATATACCACTTCACAGTGCTTTACAGCTATCTAAGCGGTTTACAGAGTCAGCATATTGCCCACAACAGTCTTCACTACTAACTTTGGAAGGGTACTGGGTCCTCACTTTACTGACTTTGGAAGGCTGAGTCAACCTTGAGCCGGTGAGAATCGAACTTCTGGAGTGAGCAGTGAGTTAGCCTACAGTACTGCATTCTCACCACAGTGCTCTCTGTTCTTCTGTAATCCTTCATAAATTTTGTTTCTTTGAGTTTTATCTATTTTTTCTCTCAGAGAGATGTCATTTTCTTTATACAAGTTTGAATAATACTGATGAAATACTTTTCGTGTGGCTGTGTTATCCAATATCAGCCTCTTGTAGTTTCAAATCATTTTGTTTTCCTTTTTTTGGTAATTTTTATGCCAACCACTTCATTTGTTTGCGAACTCAATTTTTTTTGCTTTACATAATTTGTTTTAGTTTCTATTTCTTTTATTGTCAAGCTACAGTTTTCTTAAATCTGGGGAGTCAGGCAAAATTTATTATCTACAGTATTTATACTACTAGTTGTATAGCATTTATTATCTATACTATTAAGATTCTTATGTCTGTAACCCTTAGCTGGGCAAAACAGTGCATCATAGGGCAAAACATTTTCACACAAAATACCTCAAATGGGCTAACTTACAGAATGCGTAAAAAGCCAGGACCCATGTCTCCTCTGGAATTGAAATCTGGCAAATTTTATAAAGCATTTTCTGTCATAAAATATTTTTTGTGATCAGCTGCTGATGTTTGACTGTACTATACATTTCAACATGGGTTGCTTTCAAGACAGATCTCTGAATATCTCTAAATTTTTAAGAACTTTTCCAGTACATGAGAGGATCTGTCATTTTTGAAGATATTGAGGAATCTAATAAGGAATTTGATATCACTGAATCAATAACACAATAGGTCATGAATTGTTTAGGTATTTTTATTATTAAAATAAAATATATTTTAATAATATAAGAAATATCTAGGGAAAGATATTTTTCCATGTCTGTTCTATGAATCAGAATTATCAGAAGATTGTAATAATAGGTAATAATATAAAAATATAAGCATAGTCAAATGCCATTTATGAGTCTTTTAAAACATTAAATGCTTTGGGGGGATGTGGAAACATATTTGCTTGTTTGCTATAAACCACTCTCAGCATTCTAGGTAAAAGGCAAGATCATAATCTTACATATGGCAGAATATACATTTTTTTCCCAGCAAATATAACATTCTATTAATGTCTGTCAGTAGCCAAAACAAAGATATCCCTGTCAACCTAATATATATTAGCCCAATATACTAGGAAGGTGTATATATATAGAAACATGCCAGGTGTTTGATTCATGAATTTTTTTTTTCTGAACATGATTCATTTATTTTTTACAAAGTTGCGAAATGGCTTATTTTTATTTTTTTTAATATTAGTTCAAACAGTTTTGGCAATTGTAAAATATTTAGAGATGACATGGAATATATAATATAATAGATGGAATATTTTTAATTCTGCTTACTAAGATTAAGTTGCATATATATATGTGTGTGTGTGTTATATTTTCTTCTCTAGAACAACTTTTGGAATTCATGCATCAATTACCAGCTTTTGCCAATATGACAATGTCAGTGAGAAGAGAACTCTGTGCTGTGATGGTATTTGCAGTTGTAGAAAGAGCAGGAACCATTGTTCTAAATGATGGAGAAGAAGTAAGTATTTGTAGCTTTCTTGAGTTTCTCAAAGAAACATTAAATTTATTTCATATAATAAAGACATTAATTTATTTTATTCATAAAAATTATAGATAAATTGCTGAATATAAAATACATGCATTGGGGTTACAGTGTTAACATTAAAATGATCAGTTTTTGTATGTATTATGAAACTGAATTTCTTTATTCAAATATACATACATCTCCAAGTATGTACCACAGATAATTTGAAAGGTATGTGATTAAAATACTAGAATTCTCTATCCAGTTCTTGTTTTGTGCAGATCATAGCAGACTTACAAGTCATAGTCTTGACTTACAAAGGCAGTTGTGGATGGAACTTCAGTTGCTAACTGATGTGGTTGTAAAGCACAACTGCATCATTTAGCGATAGCAATCCCCTGGATCCCATTGTTAAGTGAATGCCATGATCATTAGGTGAGACAACTTTCTGCTGGCTTCCCACAGCCAAAATCAGTGGGGAAGCCAGCAGAAAGTTGCAAGTCCCAGGCTGGCAGGCAGGCTGAGGGAGGAGCAAGGAGGTGTATGGGGAAGGGTCAGGTAGGGGGGGTATGGCGGTTCAGGAGAGGGTATGAAAGGATGCATGAGAGATGGAATGGATTGGGGTGGATGCAAGAGTGTGTGCAAGTGATACAACATGGGTCAGGAGAGTGCATAAGAATGTGAGGAGATGTTTGAAAGGCATGGGTCAAGGAGGTTGGATGAGGGGGTACACAGGTCAGGGAAGGTGCAGCACAAGTCAGGGAAAGTGCCTGAGGATGCAAGGGAGTACATGAGAGGTGAGGCATGGGTCGGGCAGGGGCTGCAGGGGTGTGAGTGGCTAGTATGTTACAAGTGCAGAGGGGATAAGGTAGGGTGCAGGTTGGGGGGGGGAGACTGAGCCCAGCAATTTAGGACATTCCCTGACAGCTTCCCCATTGATTTCTGAGGAAGCCAGTAGAAAGAGTTGCAAATGACAATCACGTTATCATGGGGTGCTGCAGCCATTTGTAAATGTGTATCAGTTGCCAAGCATCCAGGTTGAGATCATGGCATGTTGGGGCGGCCAGAACTCTGAGGACTGGTTATAATTATAATTCATTGCTGTTGTAATTTCAAACAGTTGCTAAATGAAATATTGGAGACTACCCATTACTTTATTTACCTGGGAAATAGCTCAGAAATGAGACCAGAATATCAAGTTGGATATCTTTAATTTTTGTCGCTGAATATGTAAATTGTTAGGTATTTAATTGGACTTAAAGCACATCATCTTCAATTGAAAATTTGCGTCTATTTGATTCAGTGTATGGTCACATGTTTGTTTCTTCTCTATTTGCAAGCATTTATTAGAAGAAAACTGAAAATGTAGTTTTATCTTGCTTATCTGAAACAATGTACTTTATTTTTAGCTTGATTCCTGGTCTGTTATTTTGAATGGTTCTGTAGAAGTAACATATCCAGATGGAAGAACAGAAATATTATGCATGGGAAACAGTTTTGGTGTTTCCCCTACTATGGACAAAGAATATATGAAAGGAATCATGAGAACTAAAGTGGATGACTGCCAGGTAGACTTTGAAATCTGAATGAACCATTAGAAGAGTTTACGTTTCTTATGATTGGACATTATTAAATTTTTGTGCCTTTTGTGTTTCACCCTACTGCAGCTACAAATAGAATTTTGTCCTTTGTTTTCAATTATCAGTTTCATCCTATATCTCTTGAATAACCTTCTGTATATGCAGATTGCAGACTGCCTTTTGTATAAATCTTACAATATTAGTACGTTCTTGGAACCATCATTGAAAAGCCTGCATATATTTATAAATCTGGACTAGCTAGCTGTGTTTTTGTTTTAATACTCCAGAAAGACTGCATATTTTTTTCAGAATTAGATAAGATAAGAAAGCCTTTATTGTCATTTTTTTACTGTGGGCACAACGGCACACATCAAAAATGAAATTTAGTTGCCCGCTCTCAAAGTGAAACACATACATGACACACACCTAAACATACTATGTACACTCATTCTCTTTAACATTTCCCAAACTAGGCATTTCCCTCTGCATGAGTAATTCCCCACCTAGCACAGGTGAAAAGTTCACAAATCTGGAAGATGCCATATTTGCATTGAAATTAGTTTATTCGAGAAATGGAGGGGAATGGTGATATGAGATTGTTGTGATAGTTATTAATTCAAATTAAATTAATTATTAATGTAATTTCATAAACAAAAAGCCTGGTACAGTTTTCCTAGTTTATATAAATACTTGAGGTAGCAGTAATTATTGTTTGGCATAGTTGCAAATCATCTGATAAAAAAGGACATCATAATAATAGTAAATAAATCATTTCTAGTAATTATCGTAGTAATGTGCTATTCTAAAATCAAACAAGTTCTAGAAATATTTTGGATTTGACAGAGTATTAAAAATAACATAAATACATAGAAAAACATTAACTCTACTAAGATTATAAGCATATTTATGGAATAAGCACATTGAAGTCATAAATCTTAATTCTGAATAGAGATCCAAAAGTTTGTGATGAATGCTATTTATTATTATTTTTTATTATGGCTGAATTCGTACTTCATATTTTACATTAGGGAATTAAGTATAGGCCTTAAAGTTTTAAATATTTGTGATATTTGGATACAATTCAAAATAATTAATGTGCTGTCACAAATCTCTCTTTCCAGTTTGTATGCATAGCCCAACAAGATTACTGTCGCATTCTGAACCAAGTAGAAAAGAACATGCAAAAAGTAGAGGAGGAAGGAGAGATTGTTATGGTAAAAGAGCATAGGGAATTGGATCGCACTGGAACAAGAAAAGGTCACATTGTTATTAAGGTATTTTTTTTTACATCACAATGTATTCAATGGAAAAAAATGAATACTGTTTAGGGAGTATTTGTATATTAAAGTTATAATATACAAATACTGCCTTATTTTCAATGCTTTAAGCATTTATAATTTTTAATTATAGAAAATTATATTTTAGAAAAACTAAATTCTTGGATATATGCAACTATACATGAAGTATTCCTTTTCTGGTTAAGTATTGTTAAGCAGAATCCCAAAAGGAAGTAAGAAATAGTAATGTCAGTCTCCAAAAACCAAGATAGGTATATTCTGACTGTACCACACAGATTTCTTTATTGTTCTTCACCCATAAACATTAGTTTGGTATGCCAGACTAAAGCATATCAACTCCCCCATAAAGCATTTTCAGAACTATTAGGGAGGAGCCATCTTCACCTTTTTTCTCTCACACAAACTCTGAATAGCTGAATAGAATAGAGCTGGAAGGGACCTTGGAGGTCTTCTAGTCCAGCTTCCTGCTCAAGCAGGAATACCTATACCATCTCAGACAAGTGACTGTCTAGCTTCTTCTTAAAAATCTCCAGTGATGGAGCGCCCACAATTTCTGGTGGCAAGCTGTTCCACTGGTTAATTGTCCTCACTGTCAGGAAGTTTTTCCTTAATTCTAGGTTGCTTCTCTCTTTAATCAGTTTCCAACTATTGTTTCTTGTCCTACCCTATGGTGCTTTGATGAATAACGTGACCCCCTCTTCTTTGTGGCAGCCCCTCAAATAGTGGAATACTGCTATCATGTCTCCCCTATTTCTTCTTTTCTTTAGACTAGCCAAACCCAAGTCCCACAGCTGTTCTTCATATGTTTTAGTCTCCAGGCCTTTGATCATCTTAGTTGCTCTTCTCTGAATTTTTTCCAAACTCTCAACATCTTTTTTGTGATATGGTGACCAAAACTGGCTGCAGTCTTACTAAGGTTTTATAAAGCGGTATTAATACCTTGCGTGATCTTGATTCTATGCCTCTGTTTATACAGCCCAGGATTGCTGCACATTGCTGGCTCATGGTTAAGTGATCATCCACAGTTACTGTTTTTAAGCTAGGTCTTGCCCTATCTGTAATTGTACCATTTCTTTTGTCCTGCCTAAATGTAAAACGTTGCTTTTCTCCACATTGAAACTCATTTTGTTAGATAGGGCCTATTGTTCAAGTTTGTCAAGATCTTTTTGGATTCCAAGTTTGTCTTCTGGGATATTGGCTACTCCTGCCAGTTTGGTGTCATCTGCAAATTTGATGAGTTCCCCTTCAATTCTCTCATCTAAGTCATTAATGAAGATATTGAAGAGTACTGGGCCTAAGATGGAACCTTGTGGAACGCAGCTGCTTACTTCTCTCCATGTGGATGTAGTGCTGTTGAGGACTATTTGTTGAGTACGGTTTGCCAGCCAACTACAGATCCATCTGGTGGTGATAGTGTATTCCAGCTTTTTCTAGCTTACCAAGGAGTAGGTTGTGGTCTACTTTATCAAATGCCTGACTGAAGTTTAAGTATTTCGCTGGTCTATTAGTTTAGTCACATTGTCGAAGAATGAAATAAGATTGGTTTGGCATGATCTGTTTTTAACAAACCCGTGCTGGCTACTAATTATAACTGGGTTTGCTTCTAGTTGTTTGCAGATCTGTTTGTCTAGAATCTTATCTTTTCTAGAATCTTCTCAAGTATTGATGTTAAACTGATTGGTCTGTAGTTTCCTGAGTCCATTTTTTTCCCTTTCTTGAAGATGGGAACCACATCAGCCCTATTCCAATCCTTAGGTACTTCCCTGGTGCTCCAGGATTTTTGAAAGATGTGGTGCAATGGTTCTGACATAACATCTGCCAGCTCCTTCAGAACTCTGGGATGTAATCTGTTAGGCCCCGATGATTTATATTTGTCAAGATTGGATAGGTATTCTCTTACCATTTTCTTGCTTATTTTAATTTTGTTTCTAATTTGTCTTTTGCAGTGGTTTTTTTTTTATATGTTGGGCTATAGTTTCTTTTTGTGTGAAGACTGATGCGAAGTATAAGTTAAGCAGCTCTGCTTTCTCCCATCCCTTGCCAAAGTCCTTCGCATAGGAAATGCAGTCCATGATCCAGGAAACCAAAGTTTTCTTGGCGACACCAACCCTTTAGCCATTGGTTTATTTCTAGAATTCTTTTTCCCCTCAATGGGTGTTGGCCTTTCGTTGGGCATATGGATGAGAACACTACTTGTGCTCCTAGCTTCTTAACTTTATTGCCTAGTTATTTGTAATCTCTCACTATTGTACTCAGGTTCTTTGTTGTGCCACTGAATACAACTCTCTGAACTGAATTGTCTCTTGACTGAATTCATTCCCTCTTTGTTGGGAATCTGGACTGCATTTTATCACATCAAACTAAAGAAATTTAAGGAGTGAGATAAGGAAGAGAAATGTAGCTAAAATTGTTTATTCCAGCACCATTCAGTATGATACTATATAGCTTTCTTTCCCAGCCATATTTGCTTCCATTGCATCCATACACTATCCACCACCAATTCCTACATACTTTTAAAAAAAAAACATCTCCAGTCTCCTTCGAGAATCTCTTCAATGCCTTCTATTATATTCTGATCTTCTATCCTCTTGTCAACCAATTTTTTTATCTGCCATACATTTTCTGCAGTTTAATCCACATACATTCTTCTGTGAATACTAGTCACTCAGTTCAGTCCATACTTATTTGGCATCTATTCATTCTTGAAATTATATTTTTATTACAATATTTATAATACAATACTTTATTACAATACAAAAGATTACAATATTTTTATTACAATACAATACTTCCCAGGTACTCACTTCCACTCTATTTATCTTACTTTAATGTTTCTTCTGACTCTCAGTACTCTGTAAAAGAAGTTGGCAGAAGCTTTTATATGCAGCCAGTTTCATATTTTTCAGGAAGCATTCATTCCTCATAACAGATCAGATACTAATATCATTTGGATATTAACGTCTGTTGTTCATCTTGGTTTTGGTCTGAAGATTTTATGTAATGCTTTGATAAGTTATAGAAGATGTAGACGAAAGGACCAGCATCATTTGTATTCAGAGAAAGTTGCATATGGCAATTAATGTGTGTGTATGTACCGGTATGTATATACATTTGTGTGTTTGTGTCATGTCATTGTTTAATTTTAAATATAGTCTAATAAACATTCTGTTTTAAATTTGGTGAAACAAATAAGGTGCAAGAAAAAAAATATTAATGTGTTGATGTTTGAATATTTACTTTTACAGGGAACACCGGAGAGATTAACAATGCATTTAGTTGAAGAACATTCAGTAGTGGATCCAACTTACATAGAAGATTTCCTTTTGACATATAGAACCTTCCTTTCAAGCCCAATGGACGTGGGAAAAAAGTTATTGGAGTGGTTTAATGATCCTAGCCTCAGGGATAAGGTTGCATAAATAATTTTCTTCTAGGTCCTTATTTTAACTGTAATGTATTTGGATAGTTTATATAGAATTGGAGGATGGGGAGTAACAATATTTTTTTTCTCCTTCAGGTCACTGGAAAAAAATAGAATTTAACCTATATATTTCATTACATCTAAAACAATGTAATTTGCACATAGTAAAAAACTATTAAATTTGTTCATTACAAATAAAAAGTCATGTAAACTATTTTTCTAGGTCTTCTAGTAGTATTTTCATGTTTGAACTTTTCAGTTGGCTGATTTTTTTTTTCAAAATTTTGGTTTTTGTTTGCTTCATCACCACCATGTCATGGTTCCAACAGACAGAGATGAATAAAGCAGAACTCCAAGGCTTATAAATTCCTCAAAGAACGTTTGTTAGTTACAAAGTATCGGCACATCAAAAGTAAAACCAAGTCTGGAGACACACGTAACAATTCCCCAATACAAAGTTAAAAAATCCCTCCCCTAAAACTATGCAAGTAACTACATTCCCAATACATCTTCTTGGCAGGCTTTTTACGCAACGCCCAGCCTGCAGTCTCAGGAGTAGCCGACCTTGGTTCCCACGGGACAAAAGATTATTTAGACTAGCGAAGCATCTGGGCAACCCCCCTCCCTCCACTCTATGTAGCAATCAAAAATGAGTAGGAAAAATGGCTGCAGCCATGCTCATTTGTAGAGTTGACACACCATTTACATGCACAGGCTCCTAACTATGGAATATTAAATCTTGTATATTCTATCCATCTCTTGTTATAATTTAAGAAAACTAAATACCACATATAGTTTTAAGCAATAGACTCTATTACGGGATTTTAATTAATATTTGTAAATTGCAAAAAAGATTAGAATTTAATAGGTATTAATAGTTTTAAAGCATTAAACTCCTCTTTTCTGAAAATAAACCCTGTGGGAAGCAGTCATTGTTCCAAAAGGTGTATTTTGCAGTTTGTGAACAATAAAGAAGAACCTCTCCAAGTAGGTAGTTAATTCTAGCCATTTTAATTAGCAAATTAAGAATACAAAAGTTTTTTGAAACTGATTGGTTTTTTATTTATTTGGTTTATATTGCTGCCCAATTTACAAGAATAAAACTGGGCGACTTACAATTTGAAAAGCAAATCTGAAAACAAGGAATTAAAAATGAAATAAGAGACAATATAAAATAATGTAATATAATAACTTTCAGAACTTACAAAACAAGATAATTGAATAACACAAATAACAATAATAATAGTCCAATCAACATGTATATCATTTAAGGCTTTTCATTTCATATAGGCTCTTCCAATGGTCTGGCCCAATTATTGAGAGTTGAGCCAGAGTTTTAGGACTTTGCAGGAGGACAGAAGCTCCGGGCTGTCTGAACCTCAGCTATAAAATAGGATAATCTGAAATTTAAAAGGATCTGTTAATAATAAACCTTTATCTTAGAATGTTTGCTATAGCTAAAATAATGATTTCAAAACTATTGAAAGAATTAGACTGTCTATTCTCATGTGCAAAGAAATTGTGGTGAAATTAATCATTCAGAAAATATATATTTTAATTTTTTTTAAAGAAGTTCCAGATTGTTTTCTATTATATTGGTGTACTTTTATAAAAATGGTGAATATCATATCATTCTATTCAGTTAAATGTCATTTGATCAGATCAATTCATACCTAAGTATTAATTCACTGAATGTGATATTTTTATATGAAAATGCAACATAATTTTATATATCTTCTTTCAGGTTACACGGGTAGTATTATTGTGGGTGAACAATCACTTTAATGATTTTGAGGGAGACCTTGCAATGACTCGTTTTCTGGAGGAATTTGAGAACAATTTGGAAAGAGAGGTATAAATAGACCTTTAGACAAGGAAAGAAAAAAGTTTTGATGCTCTATTGAGAATAACATTGAAATTAATGGTTCTGAATTAATATTTTTGCTTGCAGAAAATGGGTGGACATCTGAGGCTGTTAAATATTGCATGTGCTGCTAAAGCTAAACGAAGGATGATAACATTAACAAAACCATCTCGGGAAGCTCCTTTGCCTTTCTTATTACTAGGAGGATCTGAAAAGGGATTTGGAATCTTTGTTGACAGTGTAGATTTGGGTAGCAAAGCTACTGAAGCGGGGTTGAAACGTGGAGATCAGGTATGCACATTAATGTTTGAAATGTCAGTAGTACTTCCAGGAAAAGACATTGTTTAACTGTTCATTTTTATATGAAAACTAAAGAAAAAAAACAGGAGTAGGAAAAGAATGGGAGATTTGCAGAAAGATGATCTTTATGAAACTGTAAAGCTTTGTGAATGAGACAGTCAATTAATTACAGAGAAAAGCCTATTTTAAAAACATCAGTTGAATGTGAATTCATTGAAAACAAATAGTGTTATTTATGTAACATGTTTTAAACGTCTGATTTTTCGAATTTGCCAGTGTGAGATTTTTTTGTTTCTCTGTCTAGATATTGGAGGTGAATGGCCAGAACTTTGAAAATATTCAGCTAGCGAAAGCCATGGAAATTCTTCAAAATAATACCCATTTATCTATTACTGTGAAGACCAACTTATTTGGTAAGTATTAATGATGTAAAGTTGTGTAATTTTTATTCAAATAGACTAGGTTAAAAATATGATGCCATATTTATTTAATTAATTGGCCTGTATATCACCAACTACTATATAATTCTAAGTCACTAATAACATTATGACTTAAAATACCAGTGATTCCAATAAAATGACCATGCTATTAAAGAATAAAATAATTAAACATGCACAATAAATAAACTATATGTAAGTAAATGCTATTAAAATCTGCATAAACCTGCAAGCATTAACAATATTTGTATATAAAACCAAGCAGATTTTAGAGTTGATCAAATTGTCAAATACACTGGCTGAGGCTGAAAACAGCTGGTACAGTTTGCAACAGAAGTATTATTAATAGCAAGACAAAATACTCATTCTTAATATCAATACAATAGCCTCATATAACGCTTCATAGTGCTTTACAAGATTCTCTGGGCACAGATTACAATATCAGCATATTGTCCCCAACAATCTGGGTCCTCATTTTACTGACCTTGGAAGGATGGAAGGCTGAGTCAACCTTGAGCCCATCAGAAAAGTTATAGGCTTGAACTGTGCATGAAAGCAAATTGGAAATGTCAGAAAACTATAAATTATTTATTGCCATTGCATATCACACTAAAGTTAGCAAAAAGACAATGACATGTTTGTTTATTTACATTTCATGTTTCAAAGAGAGGCTCTAGGGTTATTCTGTTCTGGACATGAAACTTGCTCTTTCAGTCTGGAACAGATAAATAACTCAGAAGAACAAACAGGAAATATTGCTTTATTCTGGGAATCCTAAACAATGACTTACAGTTTGTAGAGGTGCATCCAAAATAGGTTTCAGCAATCTGATTGTCCCACAGATAAATTGACATTAGATTTTCCCCTCTTCTCCCAAGTGTCACATGGTGGGGTGATTGAGGGATTTCCAGCCGTGTGGCTGGATGTGATGGCCGAAGAACAAAGGCTGACCCCAGGCTAGTGTCCAGGGATGCCTTTTGAAGCTCCGCCCCTGACCCTAACCCCTCCCCTTGACCTGTTACATAGGGATACATAGAGTTATGCAAGATACATGGATCTATGTGATCCAGAACACTCCCCGCTTGGAAATTTATATTTCCACTACTTACTAACTGAATATGAAAAAAAAATATATAGCATTAACGTATACAGTACTCAATGTTGACTAACTTGTGACTACATAGGTAAAAAACTTGGTATCAAACATGCATAACTATTGGTAAATATAAAGCATGCACAATTATGCAAAAAATAAGCAAGTGTTACATCAAACAATGCATAAACACAATACATCATTTGAGGTTTCATCTTCTGGTTCAGTCTTCATCAGCTACGGTGCCAAATCGGTGATCAGCCTGGTACAAGTGTCTTTGAGTCACGACCTGACTCACGTGGCTTCACAATCTGAAAGTCAGCTTGGCAGAGTAGTTCATCAGCTGGGTGGGCCCGGTGTGCAAGTCCCATGGGCCAATAGTTCTGGTATGCGTTCTTGTCTCCAAGTGAGACAAGGTCTTCTTTCTGTAAAGGAAACTGGAACCAAATCTGGAACAGAAAAACTGGAACCCAAAGCTTCTCAGGAACAAAGGGAACTGGATTCACAGGATACTCAGGAACTGAAGAACCTGGAAAAACAGGAACAGCTGGATCTGGAAACACAGGAACAGCTGGATCTGGAAACACAGGAACAGCTGGATGCTCAGGAACAGCTGGAACTGAAGTATCAGGAGCAACAGCAGCTGCAGAAGACTCAGGATACTCAGGAACCGAGGTATCTGGAACCACCGATGGAGCATTGAAATTGGCTGCTACTGTTGTCATCAGGGTAGTGAGGACTTCATGTGTGGGTGTGGGTGTCTTTAACGACATAGAGTCCATGATTTCGCGGGGTGCACCAATCATGTGCTCCCACGCTTCGCCTATGCGCGCTTCGCCCATGTGAGATGTATGGGGAAGGCAATTTTTGGCCGTCAGGCATTTGTCAATCACTGGGTCATGGCAAATGTCTTCAATAGTCTGTAAGTCCTTGCAGATTCCTATAACGTTCATTCTTGGGATGCTAAGACAAGTGATCAAGATGATCAGAACTATGCCTAATCTCAGGTGCTTCCGCTTAGTCGGGTTTGAAGCGGATTGGTTGACATTTACTGGGTGCCTGAAGTTGAAGGTTGGCACGTTGAGCCGTTTGTCTATTTGAACAGACCAAGAACTCAGGACTTTCTAGCCAGGTCAATTCTGTTAACTGTGTGGCAAGGTTGGGCCACTTCACTTGATTGTTGCCTGTCGGCACATGTTGCCATTGTTCAGGGCTCAAAGATGTTTCAACACTCTTCATTCTATTGCCTACATAAACGTAGAAATGTCTGCTTTGTTCGTAGATGTAGCTTGACATCTTGCTGTCTGCGTAGAAGGTGGTAGACTGTAGTTCAAGGTGCAATGTCTTCGCTGTCAAGTTGGTGAGCTTTACAGCCGACGTGGTACCACATAGTACTAACCTTGGTACGGTGTGGCCTTCATGTAGTGTTAGTCTCGCTTTTCCAAAGAAGACACCGAGACTGCAGCTTTCCCCGCTGTAGACTCTGATGTATTTCATGGTTGCAAACAATATGACATAAGTGTGGCTCTCCCCGCTGTAGACTGTGATGCATCTTAAGGCTGCATTTGCCTTTGTTGACACATCTAAGGAAGCGTACAATTCTTTCTTTTGCACTGTGGCGGGTGAGCTGGAAACATACGTGCACTGCACTTGCATACTCTTGGGACATCTTGGAAGTAAACTCCATGACTCCCGGTCTTTCAGACGTTGTTTGTCTTGTTTGTCCTCTATGGACAAGGCTAAGTTGTTGTGATTCTGACTGGTCTGGAACACTGTTGCTTCCAAAGCAGGTTTGGT